CCGGGGGCCGCCCCATCAACCCCTGTAACCCGTGGCATTGTCCTTGCGGAGGACCGCGGCCGCTGTTCCCACACTGGTGGGGACCGAGAGGAGGGACGAGGGAGGAGCTGGGGGAAGAGGATGAGGAGGAAGAGGAGGAGGAGGAAGACACCCTCCTCCCCTGCGCTCGGGCGACCAGGCAAAAGGTCTGGCGCTTTCTCCCGGCCCCCAGGCCCCGGCTCCCGGGAGGCCGCGGCCCGGGCCCCCCAGCCCTCCGCAACTTTCCCTTCGCTAGCGCCCGCCTCTCCTCCGGGACCGGGGCCTGTCGGGCGCCCTCCCGCCCGCCCTCCCTCCTTTTCCCCCCCGCCCCGACCCCGGGCGGGCGGCCGGCCGGCCGGCCTCGGGCCGCGGCGCCTCCTCCTAAAATGGCAGGTCCCTCCCTCCGCCCGGCCGGCCTCGGCGCGGGCCCCGGCTGCAGGCCGCAGTGGGGGAAGCCGGGCCGCCGGGCGCCGGGCGGGGCCGCGGCCGGACACTCACCGGGACGATGGCGGGGCGCTCGCGCCGTTCCCTCCGGTGAGTCTCTGCCGCCGGCTTCCCGCCGCCGCCGCCGCCGCTGCGCCCCCGCCGCGGCCTCCGCCGCCAGCGCCGCCCCGGCCGCCTCTCTCTCCGCCCCCGGCGCTCCCGGCTCCGCGGTCTCCGAGCCGCAGCCTCCTCAGGTCTCGCTGCCCGGCTCGCGGGTCCGAGCGGCGCCCGGTGGGGCGGGTGTGTGGAGGCCGGGGAGGCGGCAGCCCCCCTCCCCGGCAAATACCGCAGTCCCCGGACCCCGAGCCCCGCGGCGCGGCGGGGACCGCGCGGCCCGGCCCGGCGCGGAGGGCGGCGGCGGCGGCGAGGTCGGGCGCCCAGTCGCGGCCGCCGCCGACGGCGGCTTCTTCTTCCCCGAGGAGGATTTTGTAAATCTCACAAAATGGCGCGCGCTCCAAAGCTGCGCAGCGAGGAGCGCCGGGGCCCGAGCGGCGGCGGCGGCGGCGGCGGCTCCTCAGCCAGGAGAGCCCGAACCGCCCGCCCCCGAGTCCCCGCACGGACAGACGGACACACACTCACACTCTCTCACACACACGCGCGCACGCACCCTCGCACACGCTCCCTCACACACACACACACACACACACACACACACTCTCACACTCACACCGGTCCCGCCCGCTCGCCGGCGGCGGCGGCGGCGGCGGCAGCGGCAGCGGCACCAACAGCAGCAGCAGGAACAGCAGCACAAGCGGCGGCGGCGGCGGCGCCCGCACCCCCCGCTCGGGGTGTCCGCTCTCCTGAGCCCGACCTGGGCCGCGATCAGCAGCAGCGACGGCAGCAGTCTCCCCGGATCCCCCCGCCGCTCTCGCCGCCGCCACCCCCGCCTCACTCCAATGGGGCTTTTTATTATTATTCGGGCGGGAAGCGAAAGGGTTTAAAAAAAAACCCAACCAACAAAATGGCGACGGACCGACCCGGTCGCTATAGCAACTGTCAATCAAAACGCAACCCCCCCCCCCGCGGCTGACGTGCTGACGTCCTCCTCCCGCCACCCCCGGCCCCAAGCCGGGGGGCGGGGCCTGTTGCTCGGGCAACGGCAGATTCCGTTTCCCTCCTTTTTCCTCCGTTCCCCCACCCCTCGGCCTCCGTCCCCGACCGACCAACCACCCAACCCCCCTCAGGTCACGTGAAGGATAAATTCGGAGCTCGCTACGAGTGTCAGAGGAGGGCGCGTGATTCGCTCGGGGGAGGGGAGCGGAGCGGGGACGGCCGGGCTGAGGGGAGGGAAGGGGAAGAGGAAGACTTTGGTGGCCGAGGCGGCGGCCCGGCCTGTGCGCGAGCACCCGCCACTTCCCTGGCCACCCGGCCGCGCCCCGGCCCGCGCGCGCCGCGCCCGCGCTGACTGCGGTCCCGGGAGCGCGCGCGTCCCGGCCTGCGCGCCGCCGCCCGCGGAGCCCGGCGCTTCCGCGTCGCGCGCGTGCAGCCCCGCCCGCGCAGGGGTGGGGGAGGGGGCGGGGAGGACCCGGGGCGCCCCCCGCCCCCCGCGCTTCCGGGGCCTGGGCTGCTCACCTGCATCCCCGGGGAGCGCGCCGTTGGCCGCGCCCGCCCGCGGACTCAGGCTGCGCTTGGACTGGACTGCGTGCCCCCCTCGCCGGAAAAGATGCCCATGGAGGCGGCGGCGGCGGCGGCGGAGGGGGGTGGGGAAGAGGCCGCCTCCGCGCTTCAGACATCTCAGGAATTCCGGACGCTTCGCCCGGGTTCCGGGATGCCCCTGCGGCCGACGCCTCGCTTAAACCCTGGCGGTCGATCTTTGCAGCGGCCGGCGCCGGCATTCAGAAATGACGGACGGAGCCATCATAAGCACTCCAGGCTTTTCCACGGATTTCAACCCCCCCCACCCCCCATCCCTTTCGGGGCGCAGCCTTCCTTCCCCATCGGAATGCCCCGAAAATTGATCTGCTCAAAACGATCACTGTATCCTTGTTCAACTCCCTCATTATCTCTTTCACGCAATAGCTCAGTTTCCAGATTCTCAATTCGCCCAATTAATTAATATTCTGACCTTCGTTTCTCTATTCTGCCTGTCCCTTCCGCCTGGGTAAATATTACGAGGTGTGCCCACCCCCCGCTTCCCCAGGCTTTAAAACCTAGGTATACTAGTAGCCATGCTGTGCTGGCTACTTTGTAATTAGTAGAGTCACTGGGTAAAAAAAAAAGCGTATTTTGTACCAATACTAGTAAAGTGGAACTTGATATTGTGCTAAAAAAGGATACTGTACGTAGTATTTTATTGCAAGTCCAACAATTTATTTCTAAGCTGGATTTTGCCATCTTCGATGATAGTGTTCATATCCTTTTTTTTTTTTCCTTAAGCTGTTCACAAGTACAGTGGCAAGCAGATAAAATCCTAGGTGTAAAGGGGAAAAAAACCCATGGCCTATATGGGGAAAGACGCTTTAAGAAGACTGGATGTGTGTTTAAGTATAACTGATTCGCTTTGCTGTACAACTGGAACTAAGCATTGTAAATCAACTATACTCCCAATTAAAAAAAAAAAACTTACAGTGCAAATGGGACGGGGTGACAAAAGAACAGCTCTGTAATAAATATTGATCTCTACCCTGTGTGACTGGACGAAAGACACAAGGTTTTTTAAACAAATGTTTCCCTCCTACGATTATTAGAATGCTAATAAACTAAGGCACCCATTCAAGTTAGTACAATCCAAGACTCAATTAGACGAAAAGTAGGCAAATAGGTTACTTCAGACTGATTCTCACGATATCAAAAGTAGCTATGACTATCAAAAGTTCTTTTGGAGCACTGACTGTTTCAAAAATTGACCTACTAACGTAATTAAAGCCCGCATTCAACTTGATTGTTTTGAATGAGGTGGCCAAGAGTGTCCCTATTGGGGGTGAGAGTTTGCCACCTTGATTCTGCCCCAGCTTCCAGTTTCCTCTGTGCAACCAGCTCCCTCTCCTGCTTCTCTTGCCCCGCTCCCCACTCCCACCGGTTCACCACATTTTCACTTCTATCAGAGCAGTTAAGCATTTGCAACCTTCAGCATTAAATTGGAATCAATTTTTTATTGCTGGTAATGAAGGAAACTAGCCTAATTAATCTTACAGATAACCTGAAAAGAATACGACAGTGGCTCACGAAACCTGCCCTTGGCTTTAGTCAGGTCCACCTGGAAGATTATCAGGGTGAGGCAGAGTTTTGAGTTTACAGTCCTGCAGTTATAGAAGGCATTGCTGGTCTTCATATCTAGAAGGCTGCACCCTCTCTGTCCCCCATCCCGCTCCCCCCTCCTCCCAGCGTGAGTGCGTTACACAACATGGATCAATAAACTGTCATGTCCAGGTTGGAATGCTGTAAAGTGGTTTTATATAGGCGTCACCTAAAAGCAACCTGTTAATTATATTGATCCCAAACAAGTGAACACACGTAGGCAGGAAGGACTCGGGTACAGACGCCAGTTTAGTCTTGACCAGGTCTGGTGAGTAAATCCTTGCTCTCATCTGAGAATCTTCCTGGCACATCCACTGCCAGATGTATTACAAACCCATCTGTCCATAGAAGTTAACCTCTAAAAGTAAAGACCCCCAAATCACAGATAGTAACAGCCTGCACGTAACCAGCACATTCTAGGGAGTCCCTTGGACTGCAAGGAGATCTAACCAGTCAATCCTAAAGGAAATCAACCCTGAATATTCATTGGAAGACCTGATGTTGAAGCTGAAGCTCCAATACTTTGGCCACCTGATTCAAGGAACCGACTCATTGGAAAAGACCCTGATGCTGGCAAAGGTTGAAGGCAGGAGAAGGCGGTGACAGAGGATGAGATGGTTGGATGGCATCACTGACTCAATGGACGAGTTTGAGCACATTCTGGAAGATGGTGAAGGACAGGTGTGCCTGGCTCAGTCCACTGGGTCTCAAAAAGTCGGACGCAACTTAGTGACTGAACAACAACAACAACAAACCTCAACAATGTGACATCCCCATTATACCCGTGAGTAAACAAGTCCTGAATATTTAAGTAACTTGCCCAAGGTCACACCACCAGTAAGAGGTAAAGTCAAGATTTGAACTCATGTGTAGGATTTCCCTGGTGGTAACTGAGTAAGAATCCACCTGCCAATGCAGAGGTTATGGGTTTGACCCCTGATCCAGGAAGCTCCCACATACTGCAGAGGAACTAAACCCCGAGCACACGACTACTGAGCCGGTGCTCTAGAACTCGGGAGCCCACACACTCTAGAGCCTGTGCTCTGCGGCAGGAGAAGCCGCTGCAACTAGAGAAAGCTCTCATAAAGCAGTGAAGAACGAGGACAATGAAAATAAAATAAGTAATATATGTAAGAAGAAGATTCTGCACACCTCAACCAAGAACTGGAGTAGCCAAATATTTTTAATTTTTTTAAAAATAAAACTCACGTGTAACTGCAAAGCCTATGTTTCTCTGCAGCATGCCAAAATGATCCAAGGTTATGTGGAGATTGGGTTTTTGCAGAGGTAATCAAGGATTCCCTGGTAGCTCAGCTGGTAGAGAATCCACCAGCAATGCAGGAGACCCCAGTTCGATTCCTGCTTTGGGAAGATCCACTGGAGAAGGAATAGGCTACCCACTCCAGTATTCTTGGGCTTCCCTGGTGATTCAGCTGGTAAAGAATCTGCCTGCCATTCGAGAGACCTGGGTTCGATCCCTGGGTTGGGAAGATCCCCTGGAGAAGGGAAACGCTACCCACTCCAGTATTCTGGCCTGGAGAATTCTATCGACTACTGTCCATGGGGTCAAAAAGAGTCAGACACGACTGAGTGACTTTCACTTCACTTCACTTCAAGCTAGGATATGATCAGCACCAGACTTCCATCACTCCAGTCAATTTGTCTCTGGCCATCTTTCAAGTGGATCCAGCCCAGACCCCTTCTCTGCATTCCATCTCCCTGCCCTCAACATACCTGTCTCCTCTTAACCCCTGGACCAAGTGCCCTACTCCCATTCTCCTAGCACCATAAAGTTGCCTACAAGGTTATTTTATCCCAGATGTGGTTCCAGTGTTGCATTTTTAAACAGGAGGATAATCCAATATTCCTTTAGACATTTGTAAGAATGTTTACCAGGGACTTCCCCAGTGGTCCTGTGGTTAAGAGTCCACCTTGCAATGCAGGTGACACAGGTTCAAACCCTGGTTGGAGAACTAGGATCCCACGTGCCTCAGGACAGCTAAGCCTACATGGTGCAACTAAGACCCAAAGCAACCAAATAAATAATGTTTTGTTTTATTTTAAAAAAAAGTTTGTCAATATTATTTCATAGATTATCATGAACATTTTCATTTTCTGTGATATCAAGATAAAGGTTGAATGAGAAATTGTGGATTAAACTGGATATTGGCACTGTTTGAGGATATCTTGAAACAGAACTTTGCTACGTTTTGGCAAAACAAAAAGAAATACACTTGTGTATGTTGTTTGTTGTTGTTCAGTCCCTAAATTATGTCTGACTCTTTGTAACCCAGTGGACTATAGCACGCCAGGCTCCTCTGTCCTCCACTATCTCCTTGAGTTTACTTAAATTCATGTCCATTGAGTCAGTGATGCTGTCTAACCATCTCATTCTCTGCTGTCCCCTTCCCCTTTTGCCTTTAATCTTTCCAAGGATCAAAGTCTTTTCCAACGAGTCTTTTTGCATCAGGTGGCCAAAGTATTGGAGCTTCAGCTTCAGCATTAGTCCTTCCAGTTAAAACTCAGGGGTGATTTCTTTTAGGATTGACTGGTTTGATCTTTTTGCAATCCAAAGGACTCTCAATCCAATATATGCATATAAACATATACACACACACACACAAAATATATATATATATACACACATATACATATACATATACATATAATACCTTCCTCAAAATTAACAGGTTGAGGGAAGATGCCCTAATGAAACTGAAAGACTGAGTACATGGAATTAAAAATTAGGTAAGAGGTTTGGAAATCTACAAAGGCCGTTTACTTCAGTGGTTCATTAGTTCAACAGTTTTTGAGAATTTTGGCTATTCTGTCAGCGTTTTAATGTAGGTATTAATATGTGGTGAACATCGTTTAATATTCCTACAGTATTTTTTTGTATGTCCACTTACTGCTATTTTTCTGTTTGCTTCAGTTGAATGCAAAACATACTTTTTGTGTATGTAACAGTGGTATTACTTTTTCATGTTGTATTTGCTTGTCTGTTTCTAAACTGTAAGTGCTTTTAGGACAAGGATCCTATTTTCATCTTTGTATCACTAGTACTATATCTGGCATATCGTAAATACTATTTGGGTTTTTTTTTTTTTGTAAATACTGTTTTGTATTTTTATTTCATTTAAGGATTTTTTGATGTGGGCCATTTTGAGCTCTTGGCTCCCAATCAGGGATTAAATCTGCATGCCCTGCTTTGGAAGGCGAAGTCTTAACCACTGGACCACCAGGGAAATCCCTGTTTTGTATTTTTAAATGAATGATGATCTTCTGAAATTTTCTTCCTATTTTCCTCCACCCTATATGAGGTTTTTGGCAATCATAAACCTTTAGAGGAAACTGTCTAACGATTTGTATAGAAGAGGGAAATGGTCTCTTCCGGTTTTAAAATGGATAGAATTTCTCTAGTGCCAGGGGATAGATTGTTGCAGTTGGCAAAGTTGGAAAAAGAAAATTCCACTAAAGAGATACAGTAATGTTAGTGATTACCATGGAGCTAGTTTTATTTTATCAGTGTTTCTCAGACCAGTGTTCCTACACAGTCCAAAGCTCACCCCAAGTACCTCCAGTATGAGAAACTATAAATTAGGGCATGTTCATCAGACAAAGCTTTTAGCTTGTATATTCCAAATGCAAAAATAATAGCCTTCTACCTGCTTGTGCTGTTAGCAGCTTAAGGGCATATGGTCAAGCACTAAAAATATTTGTGATAGGCAACAAACATGCCTGTCCTTTCCCACCTCTGAAAGTACCTTCGGAGTTTTAAAATTAAAAATTATTCATTATGTTTCCTTTTTAAATCTATAACATGAAGTGTGTAAAGAATAAGAGAAGAGGAGCCACTAATCCCATTATAATGACGGTTCATTTTAAAAATGAAAACAATTCGAGAGACTTCCCTGCTGGTTCAGTGACTAAGACTCCACACTCCCAATGCAGGGGGCCCAGGTTTGATTCCTGGTCAGGGAACTTAATCCTGCATGCCGCAGCTAAAAGATCCATATGCTACAACAAAGATGGGAGATCTCCCGTGCCACAACTAAGACCCAGTGTAGCCAAATAAATAAAAATTTTTTAAATAAGTAAGACAATTCAAGCACATGGTTTGAAAAATCAAACAGAACAGAAAAAAATGAAATAAAGACTAAAAGTCCCTCCCAGCTTCTGGGCTTGTTCCTCCTTCACCCTCTTTCTCCGGCCTATAGAAGACTGTTTCTCAAATTCAGGTTCCTATCACTGTCAAAAACATCAAGGCCTCTCACTGCTTTGGAGATAACATTCCTGGCCCTTAGCCTGTCACCCAGTCCTCTTCTGAGCCGATCCCTCAGGCCTTCTTGGCAGAAGCTTCCCCAAGAGAGGCCCCCAGAACACCGTTCTCCCCACGGAAGCTCTCCTCCTGACATCAAAGCATTTCTCTTCTTGCACTTTCCTGGTAGATTTCCTTTTCCATCTGCCAGGAGGAAAGGAAGTCCTTTAAGGGCAGAGACCTAGCTCACTTGTCTTTTTTTTTTTTTAACCCCCCAGTGCTGAGCATATGCTGGGAGCCAAGTCAATGCTTTTGTAAGAATGGAGTCACCGTGGAATTGCGAAACAGCAAGAGCTGGTTCAGGCAGGCAAGCAGCTGAAACCAGGAAATGGTTAAAGGCAGGAGGAATCCACTTCACTCTGGGCTGGTGGCCATCTGCTTCCGGCCTTCCTGTCCCTCCCACGGTGCATGGTGCTCGGTGGACGCAAGCTTCCTGCAGCCTGGGAGGGGGTCTGAGCAGGGGAGTCAGAAGCCCAGCGGGGAAGGGGCTCCCCGAGCCCTGAACGAGGGTGTTTGGAAAAGTGGGTCAGTATCAAGGGACTTCTGACTCGCTTTGTGAGAAAGACCAGGTGGGCAGGGCCCTTGGGAGTGCAACGGGGAGCTTGCTCCCCAGATGATGCAGCTGGGCCTCTCCTGGAGCCTAAAGGGAACCCGACATTTCGTTCCAGGTTGCCCAGCCCAAGAGGGTTAAGAGGAAGGCGAGGATTCACGGTGGGCACTAGATTCAGGAGTAAATTCCTGGACTGTGTGCTTTCCAGCTGGGCAAGTAGAGCGGAGGCTCAGGAGCCAGCGTTCCAGAGGTCTGGGGTGACAGGGTCGCAGGTGTACATGAGACAGAGGGCTAATTTGGCAGGTCCATTCATTCTGCCCGCCAGGGACGGGGCCTGTCCCGAGCAGATTCCCCTGAGCCGCCCTCATCTGCCCATCACACCCCGATCTGGAGTCGCTGCCGTGGAGCCGAAAGGACGCCCAGGACACCTTCCCTGTTAGCTGCAGAGTGACATTCTGTTCGCATTAGTCACTGGGGACATTTTCATTTTCTTGCAGCAAAGCATGGCACAGGCAAAGTCCTGCGAGCCTGGATTTTCAAGAAGGGACTGGTGACCTTAATACAGTAACAGTAGCAAGGGGAAAGAGAGAGATTGCAGAGACAGTGAGCAGGGGCATTTCTACCACCTCCCAGAGGTAGGACTTGGGTGGTGTACTTAACTTCTCTGAACGTGTTCTTTTATTTTATTTATTTTGGCCACACCGTGCATGCGGGATCTTAGTTCCCTGACCAAGGATTGAACTTGTGCCCCCTGCAGTGGAAGCTCAGAGTCCTAACCTAACTGGACCGCCAGGGAATTCCCCGCTCTCTCTTTAAAAGGGGGATTTAAAAGGGGGATTCTCTCTAATACTTTGTGAACCATAAATCATTATATAAATATTGGCCCTGATATAAATAATAAATAAGAGATTCCCCTGCAAATGTTTGTTTTTGAAGCTTTTTCCAAGATGTCCCCTTCAAAAAATAATAAATTACTTCTGTGTTTTCAAAACTCTCAGGTCCTCCCGCTGTAAATGTAATTTTAGCCTATATTAAAACGTATTTACGAGCTGGAAACACACTACCTCCTGAAGCTGCCCTGAACTGTTGTTGTTCAGCCACACAGCCATGTCCGACTCTTTGTGACCCCACGCCAGGCTTCCCTGTCCTTCACCATCTCCCAGAGCTTGCCAAACTCATATCCACTGAGTCAGTGATACCATCCAACCATCTCATCCTCTGTTGTCCCCTTCTCCTCCTGCCTTCAACTTCCCTGAACTGTACACACCATGAATTGATTGCCCCACACTTTCCACCCATTCTTTCTAAATTGTACCTTTCGGGACTACACAGACCAAGTTTCCTCAAAATACCGACCTTCAAATAGTGGAGGAAAGCTATGATTTTTCCACCTGAATGTAGTCTTCCTCAGGCTAAATGTCTCCTTTTCTTTCAACATTTGCCCCGGTCAACCTACCACCCTTGGACTGACTCCCCTCAAGGTCATCTGTAAGTTGAAATGTTGAAGACAACCTAAATATCCAGCAGTGGAGGCTCAACTGAAAAATGTGACAAATCATGTCAAAATAGAACACATAATAAAAGAACAGATAAAGCAGTAGGTATAGTATGATTTAAGTTTTGTAATTAAAACTTTATATGTTTAAAATAAATTTTGTAATATTTGTCACAGGGTGGAACAATGGTAGGTGATATTTCTCTTGTTTGTGCCTTTCTTTTCAAATTTTCTAGAATGAATTACTGGTAATTGGGAGAAGAAA